ATGTATGACGTGCGCGAGCAGACGCAACGCGCCACAGTGTGTGGTGGGGTGGGGGACAACACTGCGGGCGAGTTAGCCTAAAGCCAAAGCCCCGCCCTTCTTTCTGATCGCCAAGGCCGATTTGTCAACATTGCTAGTACTAGTACTAGAGAAAGAAACCTGATTCGATTTTTGATCAAGTAAGACCTTGAGATCATGTTGAACAAATCATCATCAGGGGAAATACAAAAAGGAATAAACAGAACGCCAAATCATAGATTACGCCTACTTTACTATTTTCCTTGAATTTATTACTGAATCCCTTGTAACGAGAATCCTGCTATAACGGACATTTCGCACCGGTCCCCTCCCTCTCGTTATAACAGGATTCCATTGTATTGGAGTTTGAGGGGAAAAAAGATAATGTCACAACCCGAAATTAGCAAATTGGTAGTCCTGTCCTCAGAGAAAGTTACATTTGAAAATAGCAAAATTTGCAAAAAGTTGCCAGAAAAATTAGCAAAAGTTGCAAGACGTGTATAGCTAAAAAAATTTCATGGAATTATTGGAATACATTGTTGGTATGCTCATTGCAATCAAAGTAACCAACACGAGTTTTGTTTGATCAAAATCAAAAGTAACTGTGAATGTCTACCAAAAAGAAAAAACTGCACAGAGGTTGAAAGAGGTACAAAAAAGTTTGTCCTCTGACACATGCATCAGGTCCTTAAACTCTTGCTGACGTTGGGCAGGAGTGACCAGCGTGGTTTGACGCTGTTCAAATATAATCTTACATCTTTTGGGGGACTTTTTGCACCCCCCCCCCCCTTCCCCAATTCCATAATATTACATTATTCGCTTACATTAATAATAATGTGACATTTATATTGCGCAAATCTGTGTTACAATAACTGTTCTATGCGCTTTACATAGTATTCATGAAAAACATGCATACACACATAATAATTAATAATAGCAACAATGAAGATCATTTCTATAACGCCCCCTCCCGAGTGAACACAGCTCTACGTACAAGCGTAACAGAAAAAGTTACAGTGTCCTTTTACCACTTTAACCGCACCGGTGTAATCAAAATTAGACTACATGTAGATATCTACTAGTGTATAAAGAGCGAGATGACATACATGCTTGCCGCTTGAGGACCTACTACATCGCCACAGCATATGTCATGCTTACCACTCTAAGTGAATAGTACATGTATAGTTTTTTTATGTGGGTTTTTTTTTTTATAATTAGGTTGTCATAAATTATTTTTCTTGTTATTTTTTCACCTCACAAAAGTGTAATATTACATTTGGTTCAAGACCCCCCCCCCCCCCCTCTACACTTTACTTAGAGGAGTCAGGAGAGCCAAATGTTTATTTGTCAAGAGGTCATCAAAAGGAATTAAAGATGGCTCGTTAGCGTGTGTCGGGGTCGGATGGGCGGCCTGCACACGTGTGGCTGTGTGTGCGTGTCGGGGAGGGGGGGCACTATCGGTCCGGGCGTTGAACGACGCATACGCGTCAGTCTCCCCCCCCCCCCCCGGGCAACTGATCAATCAGGGTCTACGTACACGGTAACCGGGCACGTAGTCTCAGGGTCTACGTACACGATAACCGGGCACGTAGCCTCAGGGTCTACGTACACGGTAACCGGGCACGTAGTCTCAGGGTCTACGTACACGGTAACGGGGCACATAGCCTCAGGGTCTACGTACACGGTAACCGGCAACCGGGCATGAAGTCTCAATGTCACATACACGGTAACCGGGCGAGTAGCCTCAATATCTACGTATCTGACTCTACTACACTGGCATCTGGCTTACTCAACTACACTGGTATCTGACTCTGCTACTCTGATATCCGACTGTATTACACGCTGGTATCTGACTTTACTACCCTGGTGTCTGACTGAGCTAATATGCTGTATCTGACTCTACTATTATTTAGATTAGGCGCAAATTCTTGATTCTTTATTATATAACCATTGGCGCTATATCATCTTATGTGCCAGAAGGATGAGAAACTACGGATTTTATGTTACAATCCGGGCACCCCCCCTTTGGGCAAAAACGGCGAGGCTGACCTGCAAATTCTCTTTCATCCTTGATGGGGCCTCATATGCAAATAACTCTCCAGCTTTCAGAGTTTACCAAAACGAGGAATCTAGGCCACAGGCTCCTTCATCCACAACCAATGTTAACACTTCCGGGGAAAGAGCTTCACGCCGTTTTGCTCAGTTGATGAAGAAAAAGCTGTCTTAAGGACTATTTTTAGCAAAATATCGCCGTAACTGTTGTTTCAACGAAAGTAAGGGAGGTTGCTTTAGGTTTGTGTGTCACTCTTTTGAGGCTAGATTTAAAAACAAAGTTTTAAACGATCTTTTTGTACTCCAGTGCCCGACAGCTAAAAAAAAACGTGCTGCCTGACCCGGTACGATTACTCTAGATAGATCTAGAGTACCTGGCCCAACCCGCGACCACTTGTCGTATTTTGCTTCTCAGCGGTCTCTGTCAGCAAAATAGGTCAGGCAATCCATGTTCAGGGCCGCTTCAGTGTGTCAACTTCCGGTTTATACTGTGATATCGTCCATCATTCCAAAACGTCATTCGCAGATTTCGCATTTTAACATGTTAATGCTCTGCCCTTGGTGCGACCGCATGCCCTCAGCGCGACCGTATACGGAACAGGGCGCGACCAGGTGCAATAAAGTTGTTAGTACAACCATTTAAAGGTTAGTAAAATCATTTCTTTATCAAATTATGATGAAAACAATTATCTTATTAATAACAGAGGGTACAGAGACAAGTGGTCGCGGATTGGGCCAGCTACTCTAGTTTAGTAACTGAAGAAAACTTCTCTCTAAGAATGTTTCTGATAAGCCTTTCACTTCGAACTCGACTGCTGCACTAGCAGACGACTGACGTTCTCGGAAAAGGATTGACCAAAAGTGGAACTAGACAAGGCACGTAACTCTAAATAAAACAGATTGCACATGAGCTGCACAGAAGGAAAAATGGGGAACTGGTCGCGCTCAGGGCACGGTCGCGCCAAGGGCAGGATAGTATAGATCTAGATCTAGGTCTAGATCTAGTATATCTCTAGATTCTCTAGATCTAGATCGATAGAACGAAGACACTTCCTTTTTTTCGGACCCGAGTCCGAATAACATTTTTTCATATTCGGACTCGAGTCCGAATAAGAATATGATGAAAGGCCACCTCTATTCTCACCCGGGGTGAGAATAGTGCAGGCGAGTCTTTTGGCTATTCTCACCCGGTGCGCGTTCACCGTTATAGCCTAGATCTAGGCCAACAAATTTTGCGTTCACTCTAAACCAGAGAATTCTACACTGTGATAACAGAAAAATTGTAGAATTCTGTGCAGTGAACAAACGTTCGATTACAACTGTAGCCTACTAAAAGTCTAAAAGCGTACAATTTTGTCTGTGGGCAGTGGAGAGAGAGAGAGAGAGAGAGAGAAAGAGAGAGAGAGAGGAGTAGCGCGAGAACTTCCGGTCAAAACAAAATGGCGACCCGTGTAGTTCGGCTTGATTCGAAAAGTTAAATAGCCGTAGCATCTTTGTAGACAACCAAATTAATTTACTTTTATGTTTTAACATCATTTTAAAACTTTGTTTTGGTCAATTTGATCGTCCACACCGATAGACAGTATTCAGAAAGAGACAGAGAGAGAGAGAGAGGGGAGGAGTAGATCTTGTGAGAACTTCCGGGCAAAACATAATGGCGACCCGCGTAGTTTGGCTCGATTCGAACAGTGAAATAGCCATAGCATCTTTGAAGACGATCAAATTAGCTTACTTTTGTGCTATAACGTAATTTTTTCTTGGCTTTTATCAATTTGATCATCCACACCGATAGACAGTATTCCAAAATGAGGAAAAGCAGGTCTTGTTTCGCACCGGGTGAGAATAGCCTACGCTGGCAATGTCTCACCCGGGGCGAGAGGTAGATCGTTTTTCTATTCTCACCCCGGATGAGACAAAATTGTACGCTTTTAGTAGGCTACAGTTGTAATGGAACGTTTGTTCACGGCACAAAATTCTACAATTTTTCTGTTATCACAGTGTAGAATTCTCTGGTTTAGGGTGAACGCAAAATTTGTTGGCCTAGATCTAGGCTATAACGGTGAACGCGCAGCGGGTGAGAATAGCCAAAAGACTCGCCTGCACTATAGACTATTCTCACCCCGGGTGAGAATAGAGGTGGCCCCGAATAAGAAAGTGGCTTTTCTCACCTGCCCAGAAGTTCTCGCAAGATCAACTCCTCCCCTCTTCTCTCTCTCTCTGTCTCTTTCTGAATACTGTCTATCGGTGTGGACGATCAAATTGACCAAAACAAAGTTTAAAAATGATGTTAAAACACAAAAGTAAATAAATTTGGTTGTCTACAAAGATGCTACGGCTATTTAACTTTTCGAATCGAGCCGAACTACACAGGTCGCCATTTTGTTTTGCCCGGAAATTCTCGCGCTACTCCTCTCTCTCTTTCTCTCTCTCTCCACTGCCCACAGACAAAATTGTACTTTAGTAGGCTACAATTGTAATGGAACGTTTGTTCACGGCAAAGAATTCTACAATTTTTCTGTTATCACAGTGTAGAATTCTGTGGTTCAGGGTGAACGCAAAATTTGGTGAACGCGCACCGGGTGAGAATAGCCACAAGACTCGCCTGCACTATTCTCACTCCGGGTGAGAGTAGAGGTGGCCCTGAATAAAGACGGCCATCCATTTTACTCACGTCTTGAATATCTTGAGCAGCTATCTCTTTTTCTTCAACATAATCTGTGACTTTTTCCAAATCAGCGGCACCAGCATCGTGTTTCGCTGTTTTCTTTCCCTTTTCCTCTGCCTCTTCATCGTTTTCTTCCACCTCTGGCTCTTCAGCATTTACAGGTTTTGCCTCTCCGGACGCCATTTTGTTCAAAAGAATTTCAGAGTTACAATTCTTGTTCAACCATCTAAACTTGCCAGGTAGGCCTAGATCTTCGGCCAGGACCTAGACGCTCAGAGAGGCCAGGTCACAATGAAGAATTCTGTGGGCCAGCTAGGCCTAGATCTAGGTTGTTTTGTTTGTTGTCCATGATCTGGAAGAAACGAGACTCTAATAATACAATGTAATGGCCTTGGACATGCCTTGGCCATGCTGGAAGGAAACTGGAAGCTAAGTGATGAGGGTGACACGAATACAAGACGCGATGTCAATTCAATTTAAGAAATAAACACAAAAGACAGGAGTTGCACTCGTTATCGACGAGTTTTGTTGTTTTAGTAAGTGTTTTACGGCACTTGCAACACAATAATATATAAAAGGTCATACAGGTGCCGAAGATTAGAAGTGATACAAGAGAGTAACAAACACAAGAAAGATGGAGGAGAGATGAAGACGATATATATTTGATAGGAAAGAAGAAGCAAACCACACCAGAGCACCAAACACCTACTTATCGACAAGAAAACTTTAAAAAATACAAGAAAAACAAAAACAAAAGAACAGCAAACAAACTTGAAATAAAGACAGAAAGTTGCAAAGTTTAAATCAATTGTCCGATTTTGGTGAATTCCATCACTTGACGAGAATTCTACATAATTACGTGTATAGTCCTCAATGTGTTCAAAAGAAATTAATCATCTTTGGCAAAGCCTGCAGTTGTCTCCGTCTAAAGGCCGCTTTCCATGGGACTGTTATAAGCCGTGCTGAAAGCTGCGCTGATAAATTGTCCGCTCCAAAAGCCGCGCTAATTTTTATTTCCATGGGCGAGCTGATGCTGAGGATGTTTGGGTTTTTTGGCCAACATATTCCATTGCATTCCTCCAGTCGCAATATGTCAAGGCTGAAACGGTTGACATTACTAGGGTCTGCTGCCGAATAATTACATTTAGAAGACATGTTGTGTTGCTAAACTAAAAGGCAAGAGAAGGCACAGGTTTTGGGTTCATGACATTTTAAAAAATTAGGAAAGTTCATGGAGCATATTAATATTACAATTTGGTGAGGGAACTAGAATTAGACACGATCAAGTTCAGAGAGTAGTATTGCTCATTTGCAATTGTAGAGAGTTGGCCTCAGCCGAACTAATTCAATCAATTTTTCGTAAACATTGCGAATTTCATTTTGGAAATATCTCTATTCTTGATCTAGACAGCGTGATTGCAAGCAGGATCGTAGCGATCACTCCCCCAACACACACACACACACACACACACACACACACACACACACACACACACACTCACTCACACACGCACGCACAAGCACACACACACACACACACACACACACACACACACACACACACACACACACACACACACACGCACACCTAAACACACACCTAAACGAACAATTAGAAAACCTTTCTTTGCCCCCCCCCCCTCCCCCACCCCAGGCTAAAACCCTGCTTGCGTGGGATCTAGATCTAGACAGCTGACAGACCGACAGACTGAATTAAGGCGAAAAAAATGACTCCAGCGCAATTTTTCGGCGAGACATTCTTATACATAAATATAGATCTAGTGAGCGGTTTGTCACAGCGGTATTTGTGGCTATTATAAATGCCGCTGCGGCATGCCGTATAAAACAGTCCCATGGAATGCGGCCTTAATGCTGGGTAGTACGCAACCCATTACGGATGGGATCGGAGAGTCGGGCCGTTGGGCGGAAACATACTACATACAGAACGCCGATTTCGGAGACTGACTCAGTAAGCGCCGATAGGTATTATTAAAAATATCTTTATGATTTCCAACTTGCCCCACATATAGAGCTGGCAGACTGCAGGCGGCTTTAAGCACCGATCAGCGTTGTCGGCTTTATCGGAATCCAAACTACAGTCTTATTAGTCCCCAAAACTGGGAAGGGCGTCTCGCTGTCAACTCATGGCCCAGTGCTTTCTTGTCGTATATCCTTTTTTTAACAGTGAAAATGTGACTTTTTCTTACGCTCACTCTTTGTTATGAACTGTTTTCACTGTTATAAAAAATGGAGATACGACAGAATTTAAAGCACAGAGGTCGCGATTCGAACGATTTTTGTTTTTCGGCTCAACAACACCTGTTATGTGCATATAAAAATACATTTCCAGGTGAATTTTACTTTAAAACATTGATTAAAGGCTCAAAATTTGTAAAATTTCAGTTTCCAAGGACTCCCAAGCTATTGAAGTTACCTAATTTTGGCAGCCATTTACTCCCTAATTTTACCTCCAAAACCAGGCAACCCCCACCTCCTTCAATCACAAATATTTAGATTTTTATTTGACGGGAGGAGCAACCCCCCCCCCCCCCTCCCGTTTGCTCACAATAATTGTCGTTTTTCTCAAAATGTCATTTTTTTCGTAGTTTTCCCCCTACTCCTTCCTTAGTTTGCATCCTTTTGAAATGGAACTTTCAGGAAACATCATGGATTGTAAGTCAGCCATCAATGTGACAGATAGACAGATCCAGATATTTGCGAAAAAAAGAAAACTTTTCCAAGCGATTGAGCAACCAAAATTTAGTAAAAGTTAATAAACATTGGGGGAAATCCTTTCTCTTTTTTTTCTTTTTTTTTAAAGCACTTATTGAGATAAATTCTCTGTTTCGTTGACAGGGACTGGTTCAAGTACACTCTCGTCAAGTTTGGTAAATTGGCGAGCGCCTGATTCCACCTCGTCAAGACACAGTTTGACAAGTTAAAACAGTATCAAAATGGGCTTCTTGAAGGTTAAGAGAAACAGTCATTACACACACACACACACACACACACACACACCGTTTCCCTCCCCAAACACAAGTTAATTGCATTTACAACAGTTCACAGCACAAGTTGATTGTATTCAATGGTTTAGGTTTTAAAAATAACGATAAAAATAAATGTCAATTTCAGTCTTAAAAACAACAATCTACATTCTATACTGAGAGCGATGCAAAAGAAAATCGCGAATAATTAAAGCATGAACAAAACACGCTACACTCAACAGGGGTTTGCCATGTGCAAATAGATCTTTAATTCGTCCAATTTACACCACCAATAGGTGGGTGTTTTGGTGTGGTTTAAAGCGTCACTATTTTATTTCTTTGACCTTATCCTTGAGACAGAAAGCCAGAACTCTGAGCGATCTCCGTTGGCTGCAATAATTGCTCTACGCCTTCGACCCAAAGAGTTTTCCAGAAGGTTTATTTGTCAACCTGGAATCTGTACCAACATCAGGCCGATGGCGGAAGCCAATAGAGGAGCTATCCGTTGTCGTGATTGCAGCTACTTGAGTTGCCTCTGGATAGCGCCCCAAACGCACTCAACTGGGTTTAAATCAGGCAAAAGGCTGATTTTGATCTTCCTCAGAAACTGTTGTGTTGCATGGGCAGTATGAGGTCTCGCGTTGTCTTGCTGAAAAAAGAAATTTAAAGAAATTTAATTTGTATGGTCCTGGGAAAAGGCTGAAGAACTTGGTCGAACTGTGACCCCGTTTCCTTGTCTAGGACCAACTTTCTGGAAGAACACTGGTTCAGTTCTTTGATTTAGGGCGATGACTTCCCAAATCATGAAGCTTTCCCCTTCCCAAGGGTTTCCCTCCACGACGGTGGCATCAGCGTAGCACGTCAGTTCTGTGCGCTACACATATTGTGCCCATATGGCGGAAAAACCAAGAATCTGCTCTCATCGGTGAACGCAGCACCTTTCTTCAAAGTGTCTGTTCCTACAGTTTGGGTGAGCCTGTGCCCACAGAAGCCGGTCGCAATGGTACTGAGAGGGTCAGAACTGGCCTGCGACTCGCCGTTTACAACAGAGGCCCGTGGAGTGCAATCACCACCGTACTTGGTACTTGGGCTCACCCCGTTCGTCCGATGATGTTCCTAGCGATCTCGGAAGCTGTCAGGAGCAGATCCACCCGGCATTTTGCTCACCATGAGGCGATCCCTAGCAGCAGTTGTCGCCCTTGCTCTTCCAGCCACAGAATTCTACATGACTGGTCGCGTTGGTGGCTCAAAACTGGTTCTGCAGTCCGAAGATGGTGGAGACACACAGGCCTGTAAACAGTTGCCACACGCCGCCCAAAAGCCCCCCCCCCCCCCCCCCTAACTGTTTTCTGATGAAAGCCTCAGTATATTTAATAACTATAATCTTGATACTGCTTTTTCTCAGTATATTTAATAACTATAATCTTGATACTGCTTTTTAAAATTTTACTGAATTCCATATTTCGAGGCTTCAAATCTGTTGACCAGGCTTATGTGACCTCATGAACACAAACTCACTACTCGAATGATGTGACAAGTGTGTACCCGTGAGTTGTGATATTTGTGTAGTTGTTTGTTGCCTAAGCGACCAATCAGGGCATTGCATTGTTCGAATAAGGTCAAGCTAGCAGGTTCAGTCCATGCTTCAGTGGAACATGTAAAAAGGTCTCACCAATGGGAGCTTTAACCAGCGAAGATGAAAATTTGGCGTTTCTTTTGCCTCTGAGTATTTATTATTTCTTATTTTGATACGTGTTTTACGGCGCTCGCAACTGCATAAGGTCATAATATGAGCGTGCGGACACATTTAAACATTTTCAGTTGGTAGGAAATTTTGAATTTTGCCCGGGTGGCGGCCAAAGCCTACTCTTATCGATTTTAGACCACCAAGGGATCTTTAACGTGCACAACTTGCACACGGGACCTCCGACATTTTTTGCCCTTGTCTGAGAAGGCCAGGTATAGATCTTTCCTAACTGAAGATCAGGGGTGTGGCTGAAAGACAGAATTAAGAAGTTGCCAAGGAGTAACAGTAGAAAGGCTGCAGAAAAAAATAGAAGCCCAGAGGAGGGGGCAAAGGAAGTGAGGGGGTGGGGGCAGAAAGTAGAAACAAAAGCAGACGACAGAACATTGCTAGAGAGCAAAAAAGGAGGTGAAAGGAGACAATTTTAGAGAAGGAATTTTCCCCGGTTTTTTTTTCGAAATATCTCGCACAAAATATTTGTACTAGGATGTTGCAATTTGGAACAGAAATATATTACATTCAAAAGAAATTTATTTAATATAAAATTCAATAAAAAAAGAAAACGGAAATGGTTTTTATTTAAAAAAACCCACCTACCTATATACGCAAAATACACCAA